CTTCTCTTTGGCTGTAGCTCTTCTGCCCCCTGCTCATTATCATCCTTACAGTAACTCTTGACCCACTCAGATAACCCAGGAAAATCTTCCCATCTCAATACCCCATGTTACTTATATCTGCAGAGTCCCTCTTCTGTGTCTAATGACAGACCTATCCCTAGGTTTGCAGGGCTGCGTGTGGAGTACTGGGATCAGGATTCTGTATAATACACTAGTATTCACCCAAACTCTTGAGCTTTGATTTAGATATTTGAAAACCTTATTAAGCATGTACTTCTTCTTCACTTCTTACTTGCATCTCAAAGTCTATTTTAAATATTTCCTCTTTAAGTATTTTCCAGCTACAAGGGGCCTCCTCCTCCATACTCCTGTTTCTTCTCCTTGTTTTCATTTGTTGGTGGTCAAGAATCATTATTCTCTGGATTTTTCTGAGGTTGTACTAGAGAGGAGCTCTATTTTATTATTCATGTCCATATAAATGAGTGCCTAAATTTAACATTATATAAGCTGTATTGTTGGGATATTTAGAGAAAGGAAGTGCTTATGAAACTTTAAAATCACCCTTTACAGTGTAAACTATTTATGATGCATTGCTTAATGAAGATTGTGGATAAATTAGTACTGAGTGACTGTTTAAGGTTGGAGTTCATCTCGGTAATTTAGAGGTCAGTGATAGACTTCTGTGTCTACCTGATGACACTAACTCCTGAGGGGAGAATATGAATCCTCACTGCTGCAGATAGCAGCTTCTTGTCATTAGGCCTTTAGATTATGAGGGGCTTTATTCCTTCTACTCACTAATTTACCTCATAGAGGCAAGAGTTGCTTTAAAAGTGAACCACCTTTCTCTTTTTTTTGGTGTCAGTGTCAGGGGCAGAGAGCCTTATACTGTTTCTCACTGGGGTACCAAAGAGCTTTTCTGGTCTATAGGACAGATGCCAGCATATCTGAAAAACCTGGAAGTGAGGTGAAGGAATTAACTTGATAGAAATTTAAAAGAATATCAATTATCCCTGGGAAAGGAAGTTTATGATCCTGAATAGACCCTCCCTCCTGATCAAAGGAAAGGGACAGTTTTAAATACAGAAAGGTCTCCTGCTCAATGTCAGCAACCAAGTCAGTTCAGGTTCCTAGGAAGTAAACACTGAAATAAGATTAAAGGATCAGATTTGAAAAGGATTACTAAGGAGGACCTGTAAAAGCATAAGGGAGAGGGATTAGAGTGAGAAAGAGGAACAGACTAAGAATCAGTTCACATATCTGTGGACAAAGAGAAGAGTCACACTGTAACAATGATCTGAAAATATTTTGAGAATTTCTCTGTGGAGTGTTCCAAACAAAGTTTTCCATTAGAAAAACCCTACATGGAGCAGGAATGGTGAGCATTCAGTGAGTTAGGAGGAGTCCAGGTGATTATGGCCATAGCCCCTGCCTCTAGTACGCATGTAGAGGACATTTATCTACCTTCTCTGCAATGGGTTCTCTTTAGTGGGACCTGAGTGGAGTCTGCCAAATCTACCAGAGTACCCCAGAGATACACATAGACATGTTTGATTTTCCTTCTTTAGCTTCCCTAACTAAGCCATTATTATGACAGAGACAAAAATCATCCCATTTGTGATAAAATACTGTTATGATGAAAAGAAAAACAGTAAGTGGATTCATGCAATACATATTATTTTACAATGAGTGTTTTAAATTAAAATTATACTTGTGATATTTCCAAGGTATTACATATACCTATTGTTGATACAGCCTCATGTTAAGACACTTACTTGCATGTATTAGATTTTCTGACCCTTACACTGAATTCTTTCTTCCAATTATTCTTATTTTGGATAAACTGCAGTTTATTTTGATTGCCTAATTTCTATACTGGGAACAAAGTTTTAATCTAGATAGATAGTAAAAAGAAGACTACTGCATTAACTCTGTGTCTTGAACATTTTAATGAGCAGAGAAGGAATGCTTTGTCTCCATTAAACAAAAACGACGTGGAAGGGGCATCGGAAAGGTGAGGGTTGGCTGAGAGCCACAGGAGGACTCTAAAGAGCCACCACCCCCGCAGCAGCCAGGTTCACCAATTCCATAAGAAGCTTATCCTGCCCGTTCAACATTATTTTTCTTGAAGATTTATGTGGTATTGTTATAGGATGAATAAGCAGCATGTGGGTAAGCAAGAGACCAATGGGAATTAGTGTTTGAGGTTTATTTATTTATTTTTTTTCCCATAAAATTCAACCAACAACTTTGGACTTTCCTGTCTCATCAGTGACTTAATTAGACCTTCATAGACTATTCCTCACTCTTTAGGAAAGGAAGTCAGTGCTTGTGAATATACAATGTGCAATGTGTTCCCTCGGTTGAGACAGCACTGTCACTAGCATCACCGTGGATTGTTGCTGCCATGGTTTTCAGGCCTTGAGTTACTCTGCTGGCCTTTTATATGCTCTGTGCTCTCCCTGGAGGGCTTTTATCTTTGTGTGTTTGAATGTTCTCTTGATACTTATGTCTATTCTTCAGTCATGAAAGAATTTCACATCTCCTTCCCCCGAAACTTGGAGCCTCTTTCAACCAAACTTCTCACATCATTTCACAGTGCTTTCTATCAAGTGATTGTCCATTCTTTTCCAAAAGGAAAGATGTTTTATGATTACAGTTGTGCTTCAAATCTATTTTTACTTGTACCTCATCAAATTTGTATTGACAGCAAATGTTTTCAAAAAATCTTTTGGAAGACCTTTATAGGAATTAACCAGGGGAGTAAGGTTAGTGTAATTGCAAAAGAAAACAGAGTCAAGGAAGAAGGAAGCCAGTAAAGCAAACACAGAAACTTTGCCTTGTAACACTTAGCTCTCAATAATTTGATGATCTAAAACCTCAAATAGAAGCCTAATACTATTTATATGTCATCCTTGTAGAGGAGAGTATAGTTCTCTAAGAGACAGTTGTTTACACAGGCCCACAATTGGTAAAGACCCTCTTAGTAGATTTTTGCTCACACTTTCTACCATAATGCGTCCTTCCTTGACCCAACAAATGCTTATGCAGGACCTGATAAATGCATTTAAAGTTTTAGTTGCAGGTAGAAATGGGAGCAGTTGGCTTAAAACTGATATCAAGTTTGAGGATGTGACTTATGGTAAAGCACTCAGAAGTATGTGCTGGTCCTGGGTTGGATTCCCAACACCACAGATAAAATTGAAAAATTGAGATCATTTTGTTATTACCACAGAGACAATTGAGGAGATAGTCATTACATCTGGGATAATAAGTGCTTACGTTAGAATAAACTTTGGCATTGCTGTAGGGGTTTGAATGGTAGCTTAGCAATTAAGGACTGGAGTCCTGTTCTCATCACCCATGTCTGTCCGCTCACAACTGCCTTGAATTCCAGTTCCAGTGGATCTAGTGACATCTTTAGGCCTCTGAAGGGACCTGCACACACACACACACACACACACACACACACACACACACACACACACACACACACACAGAGAGAGAGAGAGAGAGAGAGAGAGAGAGAGAGAGAATTGAAAATAAAATAAATTATTAGGAATCACTCTATATATGGACTACAGCCTAGATAAGGAAGCAGAATGAACATTCCACCTTGGAGGTGACTGATGTTACTTTATGAGCGACTTGATATTATCTCAGCTGAATGAGGTTTGATGCTTAAAGAGGAGGAAACAAAAGAAAGAACCATGTATTTTACTGCAAATGGCACAATTTCATTCTTCTTTATAGCTGAAAAAAGTCCACTTTGTACATATTTACTTCAGCCATACATGTCTGTAAAGGCATCAAAACTTAGTTATTGTAAATAATACTTCAGAAAACATTAACGAGTAAAAATTTCTCTGTAATGTTTACTTCGTGTCTTCCATGTAAATACCCAAGAGTAGTATATATAAATCGTATGGAAAATCTTCTTTTAATTTTTTGAGAGTTCTCTATAGCGATTTCCATGGTGACTGAACTAAGTTACATTCCCGTGAGCAGTATGTAGAGTCCTTGCACATTTGTGGATCACAGACTTCATAGAGATATGTAAAACCATTATGTGTATATGACATGAAAGTAGAAGTGAAACTCCTGAGGAAGGGGACACATGGGAGGGGGAGGGGCAAAAGGGTAGGGATGGCACATGTGAGAACGTGGTCAAAGTGTATTATTTGCTTGTATAAAATGTCTTGATGAGACCCAATAGTATATGTGATGAATATATGACTGTTTACCAAAAAATCTAAATAAAAAAGAGAAAGAAAAAAAGAAGGAAAGAAAGAGGGAGGGAGGGAGGGAGGGAGGGAGGGAGGGAGGAAGGGAGGGAGGGAGGAAGGAAGGGAGAGAGAGAGAGAGAGAGAGAGAGAGAGAGAGAGAGAGAGAGAGAAGGGAATGAAGGAAAGAAGGAAAGAAGGAAGGAAGGAAGGAAGAAAGGAAGGAAGGAAGGAAGGAAGGAAGGAAGGAAGGAAGGAAGGAAGGAAGAAAGAAGAAAGGGATGGAGGAACGAAGAAAGAACAAGCAAGACAAAAGTCTTTGTGGGCCCAAGAGCAGCATATACAAAGATCCAGGAGCAAGAGAAACCTAGAGTTTGGCAGAGTTTGTGGGAGGGATTTATGTGGTGATTGAGTCACTATGTGTTACTCATAAGAAGCTAAGGAGCTGTGATAAGTTTGATGCTAGGACTTGCTATTATGGGATTGGTAAATTAAGGATATAGAATTATGGAGACACCAACTAAAAGCAAGCAAGAGCGAAGTCAGCAAGGCATATAAAAGCATAACCTAGAACAGGGATGAGGAAGGAAGCAAAGGTGCTCTGTGCACTAGAATGCCAATCAGCAGTGTTCTCCATGGTAATGTAAAATAAATGCAGAATCATTTCCCTAAGTGCTCTTCTACGACTCACAGAAAAACATCATTTTTGTATACTTCTAACTGACTCTGGCATACTTTGCTAAGTAATGAAATGTATTTCTTCTTAACTTTTGATAGAACTATCATATGCTTGGGTCTTCAACGAGTATCCATCATTTGTTGAAGAAGACAGCCGGAGATTTGTCTCTCAAGAGACAGGGCACCTCTACATAGCTAAGGTGGAGTCATCTGATGTGGGAAATTACACATGTGTGGTGACTAGCACTGTAACAAATGCCAGAGTATTGGGCTCCCCAACCCCTTTGGTGCTACGCTCTGATGGTAAGAGACCTACAGTGGAATGCCCATGATGTCACTTGTTTGCATTTTTGTCAGCTTGAAATTGTTTAAAGTTTGTGAGTGTTTTGTTATGAGATAAAATATCTCACTAAAATAAAATTATAGAAAAAAAATCTGTGGTATTACCTCCCTGATCACTGCTAAAAAGGTATCTGTCAGATTCAGGAGAAAGCCAGTTTAGCAGCTGGGACTATAGCTTGCCAGGTAGAATACTTGCCTAGCAAATACATAGCCCTGGGTTGATCCTCAGAGCTACACAAAATGGATATGGTGGTACATGCCTATAATCCCACAGCTGTGACAGAACAAAGCAGGTTCAGAAGTTCAAGGTCATTATGGGCTACACAGTGTGTTTTAGACCAACATGGGCTACATTTTACATTTGATTTTGGAGAGGAAAAAGAGGTGCCAAGTTATAAGCCTAGGTAGTTGACTTATTAAACTAAATCATATCTCATACACCATAATGTCTTGTATACAAATATGGAAGCACTTTCCAGTCAGGTATAATGGAATCAGAGTGCCCCACATGTTAGATCACCATGGTTTGATTCCAGGGAGCCATTTATTATGTTTAAGATTGGCACCTATGTGATGATGAGGCTACCGTTTATCAAATCCCCTCCTATAATCTTTGTACCATAGGAAATTCCAGGGATTATTAATACATTATGGATGTCAGCATAAATAGATATGTTCACATTGTATACAGCATTTCAAAGAATTTCTTTAAAACATTTTGCATACTGCAGTATTTTTGACTCCATGAATCCAGAGTCCTAAAATGTTATTCAGGGTGCATGTTTGGTCAAGGTTAGTACCTGTCAGTCATTTCAATCACTGAAAGTGGTAGTCTGTTCAAAGGGGAGCCAAATAAAGTTTTATTTACAAACACAAAATGATTCCATAGGAAACTCTGACACTTCCAATTTTGTACTGTGAATTCACAGGTGTCATGGGTGAATATGAACCTAAGATAGAAGTCCAGTTTCCAGAAACTCTTCCAGCAGCTAAAGGTTCAACTGTGAAGTTGGAATGCTTCGCCCTTGGGAAGTAAGTTCTTTAACAATCCCATATGTTGTTAGGATACTTGGGGACGTACAGAGGGTTCTATTTTTTTTTCTTCATAGCATAATTTATTTTTATTTATACCTTTAAAATATTTTTATTTTAAAGTGTAATTCAAGATATTAGATCTCACTGTAGAATTGCAAATGAGTATTTTAATAGATTTTCCTTCCCCCATTTCTCTTCCACCCTCTGCTACACTTGATCTTGACTTTTATCCAATCCCCTCTCTTTACTCTTTTCATGTCATGTATGTACATTTGCTTACCTACCCTTCTTCATCACCTATTTTTCCCTCTCTTGATCTCCTTTCTCGATTTTAAGACTATAACTAAACTTATGTGTATGTGTGTAACCGTGTGTGTGTGTGTGTGTGTGTGTGTGTGTGTGTGTGTGTGTGTTTAAAGACATATATACTTTACAGACTAGAATCCATATATGAAGAACATACCTTTTTTGTCTTTCTGGTTTTCAATCAACTCACATAGTATTATACTTTTCAGATCTACCAATTTCCCTACAAATTTCATTTTTTTTACAACTGAATAAAATTCACTCTGAGTACATACCACATTTTCATCTAAGCTCTTTGCATTTCTTTGATATCGAAAAAGAGTATCAGTAAACATGGATGAGCAAGTATCTCTGTTGTAGAGTGTGGAGTCCTTTGGGTATATGCCCCCAAAATGGTAAAATTTAGTTATATATTCATTTTTATTTTTGTTTATTTTTTTAAAACCTCCATACTGATTTCTATATTGGTTATACTAGTTTGCATTTCCACTAGCCATAAATAAGGTTTTCTCTTTCTCAGTATCTTTTTTCACTCTCTGTTGTCTGATTTCTCTGATAGCCATTCTGGCTGGGATGAAGCAGTATCTCAGAACAGTTTGAATTCACACTTTTGATCATTTTAAGTATATCATCAGCATTTGTGTTTCTTCTTCTGATAACTGCCTGGTTATTTCATTATCCATTTGTTCACAGGCAATTTCATGTCATTGGTGTTTAATCTTTGTAATTCTTTGTAAATTTGTAATATTAGCCCCTTGTCATAGCTATGGCTTGTTAGGATTGTCTTCCATTATGTAGGCTGTTTACTCTGTTTATAGTTTCTTTCACTGTATAGAAGCCTTTTAATTTCATGCAGTACTGTTTGTTGATTCTTGAGGCTGGTTCCTGGGCCTATAGAGTTCTGTTCAACGTCCTTGCCTGTGCCTGTGTTTTGAAAGACGTTTCCAATGTTTTCCTCTAGAAGTTTTAGCATTTTAGACTTTCACTTAAGGTCTTCGATGTGCTTTCAGTTGTTTTTGGTATAGGGTAACAGATTTGAATCAAATTTCATTCAATTGATTTTTATATATTGATTCTGTACCTTGCAATGTTATTAAAAGGGATTATATGGGGTCTTTTAGGTATATAGCAATGTCATCTGCAAATAGGGATAGCTTGAATTCTTTTCCCATTTTTATCTCCGTACTATCTTTATCATTTATATTGTTCTAGCTAAGACTGATCTGAACACTATACTATGTAAGAAGTGAGAGAGTCATTGTCTTAGTTAGGGTTTCTATTGCTGTGAAGAGATACCATGACCATGGCAATTTTTATAAAGAAAACATTAACAGAGAAACCCACAGAGACAGCTGACAGGAGCTCATGGGAGCTCATGGACTCTGAACCAACAGTTAAGGAACCTGCATAGGACTGACCTAGGCCCTCTGCATGTGTGTGACAGTTGTGTAGCTTGGTTTGTTTGTAAGGCTCCTAGCAGAGAGACTGGGAACCTCTTCCCCATGATGGATTAGCCTAGATACAGGGGGAGGAGCTAGGTCTTGCATCAACTTGATTTGCCATGCTTTTTTCAAGCCCAAGAGAGGCCCGCTCCTTTCTGAATGGAGATGAAAGTTGGAGTGGATGGGGATGGGAGTAGATGGGAGGCAGGGAGAGGGAACAGGATGGGAGGAAGAAGGGGAAACAATGGTCTGTATGTAAAATAAATTAAAAAATGTTAATTAAATAAAGTACAAATAAATAATAAATAAGAAAGAAAACATTTAATTGGGGATGCTCACTTACAGTTTCAGAGGTTCAGTCTATTAACATTATAACAGGGAACATGGCAGCATGCACGCAGGCATGGTGCTAGAGCTTCTACATCTTGACCAGAGACAGCAGGAAGTCCACTGACAGTCACACTGAGGGAAGTTTGAATAAAAGAGACTTCAAAGTCTGCCCTCACAATGACACACTTCCTAAAACAAGGCCACACCTCCTATTAGTGCCACTCCCTTTGGGGACCATTTTCTTTCAAACCACCACAGGCATCCTTGTCAGATGCCATATTTTGAAGAAAATGGTCTCAGTTTTTTATAATTTAGTGTACTGTTGACTATGGGTTGTTTTTATACGGACCTTTTATTATTTTGAGGTATGATAGATGATTTCCTAAAGTCTCCATGGCTTTCATCATGACCGAATGCTGAATTTTGTGAGATGCCTTTTCAGCAGCTATCAAGGTGATTAGGTGATTTCTGTCCTTACATTTATTCATATGGTTCACTACATTTATTGATTTCTATCTATTGAACCAACTTTTTATCACAGAGATGAAGCTAACTTAGTCATGATGTATGACCTTATGTGTTCCTGAATTCAGTTTACAAGTACTTTGTTAAGAATTTTTTCATTCATATATTAGTCTGGGGACTTGCTCTGCAGTTTTCTTTTTTGCATATCTTTATCCAACTTTGGTATCAGGATAATACTGACTTCATAGGATGAACCTGGTAGTGTCTCTTTCCTTTTCTTTCTTGTCAAACTGCTTGAGCAATGTTAGGATGAGAACTTCCTTAAAAATTTGAGAAAATTTAGTAGTGAATCCATCAGGTCCTGGGCTTTGCTTTATGTAGAGACTTCAGATCCACAGCCAAGCACCAGGCTGAGCTCCAGGAGTCCAGTCGAAGAGAGGGAGGACAGAGTCTATGAACAAGGGGCACAAGATCATGATAGGGAAACCTACAGAGACAGCCAAACCAAGCTAGTGAGAACTCATGAACTTTAGACCAACAGATATGGAGCCTGCATGGGACTGGACTAGGCTTTTTGCATAAATGAGATAGTTGTATAGCTTGGTCTGTTTAAGAGGCCCCTGGCAGTAGGATCAGAATCTATTCCTGATGCATGAACTGCCTTTTTGGAGCCCATTACATATGGTGGGATACCTTGCACAACCTTGATGTAGGGGGAGGGGCTTGGACCTGCCTCAACCTAATGTACCAAGCTTTGTTGACTCCCCATGGGAGGCCTTACCTTTTCAGAGGAGGGAATGGGGGATGGGTTGGGGGGAAGACAGGGGGAACACGAGAGGAGAGATGAGAAGGGAATCCGTGGTTGGTATGTAAAATGAATAAAAAATTTCTTAATAAAGAAAAAATGTGTTTATAATATTTTCCAGCTTTAATTTTGGTAAATCATGCACATTTACAAAATTCATCCATTTCTTTTAGATTTTCTAACTTTTTGAAGTATAATTTGTCAGAGTGTTTACTGCGGATTGTCTGGATTTCATGGGAATCTGTTGTGACAACACCCCATTTGTCTCTGATTTTGTCAGCTTGATTCTTCTCTCTTTCATTTTGTAAATTTAACTAAGAGGTTTTCAGTATTACCATTTTTTTCAAAGAACTTAATCTTTATTTGATTTTGTATGTTTTCTAAAGTTTCTTTAGAAGCAAGTGAAAAATCGAATACAGGAAAGTATACTTACATGATGTATTTTGAAGCTTTAAAAGAAATTTGGAGAAATTGAAAGTGCCTTACTGATTCCATAAGCTAAGCCAGAAAAAAGATTGTCATTTACTTATTCATTTGTCATATTTTCCTGCACTTAAAGCATAAGTTGACTGGCAAAGATAACCATTTTATTGTATTAAAATATTATTTCAAAGATGTAAACCTGGGTGTGGTAGCACATGCCTGTAATCATCACTCAGAAGTCATAGCAGAAGGATCAGGAGTGAGCAGCAAGTCTGGGCTACCTAGTTAGACCCTGCATCAAAACAAGAATTTACACCTGGAAATAGCCTGCATCTGAAACCTGTGTCTTTGGCTCTCTTAACCAAAGCTTTCTGTTTTTGAGTCTCTAAGATTTCCAGAGAACAGCAAATGACAATTTTCTTATCAGCCCTGTTCCTCAGATTAACTGGAGAAGAAGTGATGGGATGCCATTTCCCAACAAAATTAAATTGAGAAAGTTCAATGGTGTGCTCGAAATCTCGAACTTCCAACAGGAAGATACAGGCTCCTATGAGTGCATTGCTGAGAATTCACGAGGAAAAAATGTGGCAAGAGGGCGGCTCACGTATTATGGTAAGCATTAGCTATATGGAAAGTTGCCTTGTAGCTTTTGTTCTCTCATAGCTGTTTTGGTGGGTGAAGGTAGTTATAGCAGAAAACTGTGATTTAATTTGTCATTTTCTGTGTTTTATTCTCATTTTGTTAAGCAAAGACAACCATCAGAGTAGGAAGAAATTAAAAAGAAAGGAAACTTGCCACCAACATGAAGACATATTCCTTTTACATTTTGAAAGTGATTCATATGATAATGAAATCTTTCACTTTTTTTTTTTGCATGACCTTTCCCACACTTAATATAACAGACAGCTCTCTCTGGCCGCTTTCTCCTCTAGAAGAGGTGTTAATTTTTGTTTTGTTTTGTTTTTTAATCTTTATTTGAAAAGCAGAATAAAACTGCTTGCTGAGAAAAGTTGCAATTATTACATTAGACAAACCAAATACACTGAAGATGTTGCTCTGGATGGAGATGTTCCACGCTATCCAATAATGTAAATAATGAATCTGGAGTCTGTTTGCATCCTTTAATTTGTAATCATATTTGTTTGATGCACTGCTCAATTTGGGGAAGGAAAGAATAATATTTCTTTTATTTAGAGGACTATTTTTTTTTGAGAAAATGAGATTTTCTTTTTGTGTTTTAAAATTTCTCTTGTTTAAAACATGCCATTAGGTTTTGATGAAAACATGGTTTGGAAAGTGCTAATATGTTACTATACAAAATACATCTGTAAAATGCATGGAGATGGAAGCTCACTGAATGCATTTGCAATTTAATTATTAGAAACATTGTAAACCTAGTAAGAATTCACCGATTTTTATGAAGGGCAAATTGCATTATTGCCTATTTATTTTAGTAACTTGTAATTGAAACAGCTTTCTGTGGTGGTGCGTACAGTGTACATAAATGCTGCAGGGGAGGAAACTGTTTGCTAAGACAGCTGTTAAAGCTGTAGACACCATTGAACAATTTGAAGTTCGAAAATATATTACCTCTGACAAGATAAATGCTTCTTATGTTACAGGGTTTTAGAAACTGTTGGGGGCAAAATGAAGGAATGTTTTAATAGCACAAGTCATTATGTTTTGTAACTTTCCCACCTTGTCTCATGATTAGTTTAATATAAGAAAAGATTTCCTATATGTCAGTGGCCATAAGTTGTTGGCATGATATGGAAATAATGGTGGTGGTGGTGGTGGTGGTGGTGGTGGTAGTAGTGGTGGTGGTGGTGGTGGTGGTGGTAAGATAAATTCTTCACCCTTGGGGCTGAGTAGCTCTGTGTCCCCCACACAATGGGGATTTCTTATACCCTAGCGTAGCTTCCTGTTTCTGGTCATTGAAGGATCACAGCACACTCAGAAGTGAGCACTGTGAGAAAATTTCTGACTTGTTAAATCAGTGGCTCTCAACTTTCCTAGTGCTGCAACCCCTGAATGCAGTTCTTCATGTGATGGTGACCCCCCCAATCAAAAACTTATTTTCATTGCTACTTCATAACTGTAATTTCACAACTATTATGAATCATAATGTAAATATCCGATATGTAGATAGTCTTAGGCAAATTCTGTAAAAGGGTCCTTTGACCCTCCAAGGGTCAAGACCCACAGGTTGAGAACTGCTGTGTTAAAAGTTTCAGTGTTTTTAACTCTATGCCCCATCACCCCTGCCCAAATAGGAACCGTATACCCTCCTCACCCAGGAAAGCATAACTAAAGCTAAATTGACATACAAGTACTTAACATCAGGTCATGACTCAGTTTCTCTACTTTTTAAATTTTCTGCTTGAATCATTTTTCCTTTTTCTACATATTAATCGCCACTACAATCACAAGGTGACTGCCACCAATGAGCAGCACATCAGGTACTCACATCCTTCTGCTCTCCAAAATATTTATAATCCCATGCTCAGATGTCCAGCCCTAATATCCTCAGTAGCAAGGGAAAGTAGGATTAGACAAGAGCCTCCCTATGGAACAGGGTACAAAATCAGTTCCCCTTAGATTTTATGGACAATGTGAACTGACAGAAAACAATGATATCAGGGTGAAAGACTGGTGATATTTTAGTCATCAGGCAGAATGGAAAGTAGTGCACAAGAGGAAACCAACAGCGTCAGCTGCACTTAGTCCGTTCTGTAGATAATATTTTATGCACCTAAGAAATAAATCATAAATAAATGGCATAGAGAGTTTAATGGAAGGTGCCCTACAATTTTACCTTGAAATTATAACATAGCATCAATAGGTGCCATGTAGTTCTCTGGTGATTTGCTCTAATATTTCATGGAAAAAAAAAATGGTGTGATAGAGAATTTGACTATCAGGTTATGGATAAGGGAGAAAAGACATGATTAATGTGGGAGTTCTAATCTGAGAAGAAGACTGTTAGAATATTAGAATCACCCACGAAGATTCCTACTGAAGACTCAGGCCTAGGTCAACAATTCCTGTCTAAATCTAGTTATCATCTCCTTCCAGGGAGGTCTGATGATTCCTGAAATTGGAAAAAGAGTTTAATATAAAGTAGGAGGAGTAGGTTGGGGGTAACTGTGTTTCATACTGGAAAAACGTTTTGTTTTTTTTAAATATTTTTATTTTATAATTAACTTAATTTCACATATCAGCCACGGATTCCTCCGTCCTCCCTCCTCCCACCTCCTAGCCCTCCCCTCAAATCCCCCCCCCTCCTCCAAGGCAAGGTCTCCCCTAGGGAGTCAGCTCAGCCTGGTAGAGTCAACTGAGGAGGTCCAGTCTCCTCCTCCCTACACCAAGGCTGAGCAAAGTGTCCCAGCATAGGCCCCAGGCTCCAAAAACCTAGCTCATGCTCCAAGGACAGGTCCTGGCTCCACGGCCCAGGGGCCTCCCAAACAGTTCAAGCTAATCAACTGTCTCACTTTTCCAGAGGGACTGGTCCAGTTCCAGGGACAAATAGCCAAACTAGTGGCAACGCATGAACTGTGAACCAATGGCTGAGGAAAAATGATTTTTATACAACAACAAAAACAAAAAAGCTAAGGAGCTAGCCATAGTTTCCTTTCAATTTCATTTGGACAAATAAACAATTTTAGGAGACAGAAAGGAAAGGCAAATCTTCCTGTGGTTGCAATTAAACAGAAATAGATAAACTGCTGCTCCATATGGAGCATGCAAATGCAGATCCCGTGGCATACATCACATGCATAATGCAATGTGAAACCTCTAAGAGATCTCACCTCCCAGGTTTGGATCTGAAACACAAACTGGGATTTGGCTGAATATACTGTGTATGTTGAGTGGCTTCCATTGGAAGTGGTATGTCATGTTCATCTGAAAAAAAAAAAAAAAAAGCAGTTTCCAGGTGCCTTGCAAAGCTTAAGTAAAATTCATTAATCTCCTTGATCCAACTGATGTGCATACTTAATTTGAAGTTGCTTTAATTACATTTTTTTTGATAAAATATCTCAATTCACATTATGGCCACTTATCCATCTTTTGGGGCTTTCATTTTAATGCACAGAGTTGTGTAAGTTGTTCATTACTTTGTATTTAATTGGGAGGTATTTCTAACTCGAAGCAAATATTTTTCATTAGCCATAGATGTTTCTTTCCTATGGATATTAATATTTAGCTAATCATTAGGCCCCATAGCTGCTGTCATTCACTTTGAAGTTGTCATGACATATGATCTTATATTTCAAAAATATACTTGAGGAAAGTATATTCTTTACCTGCATCACTACCTATTAATAGAGTTCTGAAGAGTGTAATCTAGCAATCAGAATTTTGAAAATAGAGAGAGCTCAATGAAATTGGCTTAAGATATAACACATTACAACATCAGTGTCAAATCTAGGAATGTTTTATATAACCATTCAGTGATCTAAATACAATTCTAGTCTAGCCCATGTTCTTCCATAGCTTGTAGTCTGATACTCATTTATAAGCCATTTTTTATTTGGTATATGATTTGAATTTCTTGTCTTTCAGTTATCTATTTTTTCCTTGATTGTAGCAAAACCTCATTGGGTTCAACTTATAAGAGATGTGGAAATAGCTGTGGAGGAGAGTCTTTATTGGGAATGCCGAGCAAGTGGGAAGCCCAAACCCTCCTACCGATGGCTCAAAAATGGAGACGCCTTAGTACTAGAGGTGAGGTGATGCAGCTGCTTCATCCAGCTCTTCCTGTCTTTTTAATGTATGCTTCCTTTAGCCTCTAGAAACCAGGGTAAACCTTCAAGAGAAGGTTCAGTGGGTAAAGTACTTGCCTTACCAGGGACCTGAGTTCAGTCCTCAGCACCCATGATAAAAATAATGCTGAGTATGAGGGTGAACGCTTGTGATGCTGGAGCTAAGTAGATGGAAACACATGGATATATGCCAGTGAAAGACACTGTCTTACAGAGAGGGAAAAGGGGTAGACTGCACCTGAGGAAAGACACCTTTGTAGCTAGAGTTTTCCTGCCTGGCCCACAGTCAGGACAAATCTCTCTCACCTGCCAGTCCCACAGCCTTTCAAACCCGACCAAGTAAACACAGAGACTTATTTTGCTTACAAACTGTATGGCCGTGGCAGGCTTCTTGCTAACTGTTCTTACAGTTTAAATTAACCCATTTCTATTCATCTATACCTTGCCACGTGGCTCGTGGCTTACCGGCATCTTCACATGCTGTTTCTCATCGTGGCAGCTGGCAGTGTCTCTCTGACTCAGCCTTCCACTTCCCAGCTTTATTCTCCTCCTTGTCCCACCTACACTTCCTGCCTAGCCAATGGCCAATCAGTGTTTTATTTAATGACTAATCAGCAACACATTTGCCATACAGAACATCCCACAGCACTTCCCTTTTTTTTTTTTTTTCAAAAAGGAAGGTTTTAACCTTAACAAAATAAAATTACATATAATTTGGGAATTTGGGCGTAGCTTCTCTTACTACTTCCTGCTGGAGGGGGGCGCTGTATCTTATGGGGAAACAAAGAAAATTTTAGGATTATGGAATAGTCCATGAGGCTGTATCGTCTGAGCCAGATGCCTTCAAACCATTCCGAATGTTGGATTATCTGGGCCACGGTGTCATCAGAGACCTTTCAGGTGGTCTTGGCTGGTCAAATCTGATGTATCTTAATCTGGAACAAATCCATAGCCTCTGGTTTTCTGTGGAAACAAAAGAGACTCTTTTCCAAAGCGACATATCCTTATATCCAAATTTTGAAGTCAAGGTATCTTTAAAATATACATTTTGGCATAACTCAACAGCTTTTACAATCAAATGTTTTTCTGCAGTTAAAAATCCCAAAGACAACACAATCCAGATTCTCTGTGTAATACTCATCTTTACATGGCTTATTTTTTATATTAATTTTACTGTCTCTTTAAAGACTTTATTTTTTAAAACTATGTATTTGTTTATATAACTTTATATATCACCTTTTTTGTCTCTTTCAAGCCTACGTATATTTTACACACATTTAAACTATTACATCTGAATCTTATTGTGAATCTATTGCCTTAAACTGCAGCAGCTGTGGCTGCTGGCTCCACCCACCTCAGCTTCCCAACCTGGCTAGGTTTACCACCAGCTCTGGGAGCTATCGTGGGTCTATGCTTTTATCCAAGCAGCGTGTAGTCCAGAAACCTCTTTTTTTGTTTTGTACCTGCGAAGGCTAAATCCACCACGCAGCTTAATGTGCCACTTGCAGAGGACTCATTCTGGCCATACTGCAGGTCGAGCACCACGCTAGGAACCCACAAGTAGCTCAAACCGGCAGCTGCCGCTCATTTGAGAGAGACAATTAGGAACTGTTTTTAGCTCCGTTTTAGAATCTTTTTTCTCAGGTTTTAGGTGGAAACTCTTGCCACCACGTTGGACGCCATTTGTAGCTAGATTTGTCCTGACTGTGGGCCAGGCAGGAAAACTCTAGCTACACACCTTTGCTTCCCTGAACACACATGCATGGAAATCCACAAAAATCTATACATACACAACAAGCTGTCTTAGCTCCTAGTGTCAAAAACTAGGGTTTCTACAGAAGCAATTAAAGTAGGAAATGATTTATTTTAGTATACAATTTCAGTTCATCATGATGAGGAAGGCATGATGGGAGGTTATGGCAGCAGGAATCAGGAAGAAGTGTAGAGCTAGGACTGGGACTTAAGGAGATATCACCTTCAAGTACTACCCTCCCCACATCCCACCTGACCCAGCAAGGCCAGATGTTTCAAAGTTTCATAGCCTTCTCATGTTCAAACACAAGAGCCTGCATGGGGCATTTTTTTACATAAATCACAACACAGGGGAATCATATAAAATCAATCATCCAATCTTTTAATGAGATTTCTTCTCCATTGCAATTCAAGGTATATTGATGATTTTGCACTGATAAAATAATATAAATATAAACAATGATTTGGGCTGTCTGTGTTAGAGAAAGCTTTACTTTAATGAAACATGGAATTTAATTTCCTTTTCCTGTTTTATACTTTGGTCTGGTTTCTAGAGAATAAATGAATCTGTTAATTGGCTACCTTCATAGCTGTGTATTTATTGTCTCATTCACCTCCTTGTAATTTCTAGGTCCTGGGAGACTAGTGTGTTCTCTAATTAGAAACCGTGAATATGAAACAAAATTGTGGATATTATTGGGTGGTAGAATATATGTAATTTATATATTACATATATTAGCCTCTAGAAACCAGGGTAAACCTTCAAGAGAAGGTTCAGTGGGTAAAGTACTTGCCTTACCAGGGACCTGAGTTCAGTCCTCAGCACCCATGATAAAAATAATGCTGAGTATGAGGGTGAATGCTTGTGATGCTGGAGCTAAGTAGATGGAAACACATGGATATATGCCAGTGAAAGACACTTGTAATTTCTACTTTTGTGTATTTATGTGTACTAAGTCAATTATGTACCCTTATGTTTTTATATATAACCATCATACTTGGAAAAAAACTTGGTGAGTATGTGGGTTTCCTAGCACTCTGTTTAATGCACTGAATTATATTATCTTAAGCTCATATAATTAAAAAAATATTGTGATAAAAGAATTTCCACCTCCCAGGATGAAAATCAACCTCCCAGAACATTTTCTTTTTCACAGTCTGAATCATTAACCATAGATGAAAATGAAATGGCTGCCACACTTCACCTTTGGTTTTAAAAATTATTTTCTGATTTTTGGTTGTGTATCTGAAAAATCTTTTCCATTTCAAAGAAGAAAAAGGTTACATCTCAGGTCAGACTGCCTTGTAGTCTGAGGGAAAATAGCAACATCTTTTGTCTGATTGAAATGATAGTCAGTAGTGTTTATTTTAATCCTAAAATTTTATTTATCTGTAAGAAATGTTATTTTTCAATCCAGGAGAGAATACAGATAGAAAATGGTGCCCTTACAATATCGAACCTCAATGTGACTGACTCTGGAATGTTCCAGTGTATAGCAGAAAACAAGCATGGGCTTATCTATTCCAGTGCTGAGCTCAAAGTTGTAGGTAAGACTAATTTTTATGTGTTTAATCTTACTTTTTTCCCTTTAATCTTCCATTTTTTTCCAGAATATAAAATATTGGCTTTTTATAGTTTATTCTACCACCCAATAATATCCACAATTTTGTTTCATATTCACGGTTTCTAATTAGAGAACACACTAGTCTCCCAGGACCTAGGAGATGAATGCAAGAGGATAGCCACAAAGTTGAGGCCAGGCAGAGTTATATCGGGAGTGCCAGGCACCTGCCCCACCAACCTGGGCCAAGAATAAGATCCTGTCTAAATAAACAAAACAAACAAACAACCACCATAAATGCTAACCAAGCCAAACCACAACAAATGCATTTTAAATGATGTCAAAGGAAAAGCAGCCATAGTGGCCAGAATTAAGTTCCAAGGTTGAATTAAACCAGGAGAAAGAAGCTCCTTCACATCTAATGGACCATTACCCAACCCTAGTGTCCTTGACTAAGAAATGCTTTTTACCAGGATTCTGGTGCTCTCTATTCCTGGTCCACAAAAGCAAATGACAAAGTTGGGATCAGTGATATTTGACTCAGAAGCTGCTTTTGTCTTCATGAACCCCGTTTGGAGGTCCAGGTGTGGGGTGTACTGAAGGCATAATTAACCAATGATCCACTATTTGAGATTATGATTTATTACCTCTTCCTGCACTTTAGGTCTGAGGAAAGGAGGAAAGAATTTCGTAGTGTTTAGGGCATTTATACAAAGGACACTGGCATGACAAATGACTGAAAACACAAGGGTAACTTAACAGCAAGGCAGAAGGAAATGCAGAAGGAAAAGAGGGAGATGGAGAAGGAAGAAAGGACTCACTGTTTCAAGAAAGTAAGATGGAAAGTTTAGATTTGGGCATAACTGGAGGCGGGACTCAATGATCGCCATTATTTTTAGTTTCCACGGAATGCCTCCCAATTCTCTGAGTTTATTACCACATTCAGTTCAGTGGGGGAAGCATGACTTCCTTGTTTGCTTAGATGCAAGTGTCACTACTAATTCCATGACCCCATGAACCCTTATTTGTGCCGTTGCCTATCGTTGACCTGGTACAAGTGGCATTAAGCATATGAGGTTCTTTTTATGTAAGTCAGTGGCTCTCAGCTTAAGAATGTTTTCACTCTGCTGCATACTTTGAAATATTTGAGGGTAATTTTTGTTATTATAACTAGAGTCTGGGGAAAGAATGGAAGTCCTGTGTGCTGTAGCCACCATGGTAGAGGATAGAGAGGCTGCCAAATATTCTACAATGGATGAGAGTCACTCACAACAAAGGAGTATGCAGTACCAAATTCCAAGAGATGTTGGGGAACCCAATATTAAAGGAGAAGTCTCTTGTCTCTGGCACCTGAAGGTTGGATATGGATCGTGTGTATCAGGATGACTGCCAGGATTGTCAGTGAAAATCTGCCCCCTTTTATCTGTGGCAGAGAAGTAGCATGTTACAACAAAAGCAGGAGAGGATGGCACACAGCTGTAAGTTGAAGCACATGCTTCTGTAGATTAAAACTGGCAGAGTCATAGTCTAATTCCTCTTTCATTAAGATGGATTCCTCCCTATTGTGGTACAGGGCCATTATATGGGAAAGTAGAAGATGTGTAAATTAAAAATTATATTCAAATATAGATTCTTGTTGTTTTACTGAAACAGTTTTCCACAGGATTTTAATTTACAAGGCCAACTCAGAATAATGTGTCTCTTTTTATTTAATTAAATAATAATTACATCATCCCCCTCCCTCTCCTTCTAGCTTCCAATGTGCTTCCCTGTCCCAAGCTCCCTTCAAAATTCACAGCCTCCTATTCTTTCATTGTGGTTGTTACATGTACATATAAGCAAATAGACACATGAACCATAACCTGCTGAGTCTGTTCTGTGTCACCTACATGTATGTGTTTCTAGGGGTGACCACTCAGTATTGTACGACCAACCATGAGGCTTATCCTTGGTGAAGATGAATTATCCCTCTCTTGACAACTGTTAATTACTCTTCATCTAGGAGTGAGACCCCATGAAATTTCTCCATGTATAGTGGGAAGTTAACTGTTGGAATTGTTGAGGTCTTATTTAAGCAGCCATGCTGCTAGATTTCATGAATGCAGCTTCCCTGTCATAGCTAGAAGGCACAGCCTCACAGAAGATTTCCTGGACCAATGCCTCTTAAAATATTTCTGCCTCACTCTTTCATGATGTTCCCTGAGCCTTAAGTGCAGGTGTTGAACAACCATAAATTCAGTCACATAATATAACCATTATAAAATGCATATGTGGCAAAAAGTAAGTTATTTTCACTGGGATTTGCCACAGCATAGAGCATTAGAAGCCAGGTGAGTAGAGGCTGGAGAAATGGCTCAGCGTTAAGAGAAGTTGCTGCTTTTGCATAGGACATTAGTTCCAAACCCGTCACCCACATGGCAGATAATTGTTTGTTGGATACCCAGTTCCAGGGTATCCTACTCTGTCTTCTGGCCTCTACGGGCACTGCACACATGTGGCTCACTATCATACTTGTAGGCAAAGCACTCATACACACGAAATAAAAAGTATTAAATCTTACATAAAAAGAGAAAGAGAGAGAAGCAAAAAGAATCTATGTGTCATGGCACACACCTGTTATCCCAGAAGTTGGGATTCTAGGAAAGAGAATTGTGACTGGAGGCCAACTTTGGCTAGAAAAGGAGGCCCTGTCTTCATTTGAAAGGGAGAGAACATTCTGTATTTGGGGAGATAATCAGCTTCCCAAGCTTGTTTATACATATGTAGTAAAAGGAATAGTGACTTTCTCATCAGCATATCATTTCATTTAAACGATACCTTACATCTCTCTATGTAGCTTAAGGTTGACTTCAGAGGCTTTACTGGGAAGCACAATGTTTTCTGCACATTATGACATTAATGTGATATTACATCCCTGAACATTACATCTGTGTTATGTCTTCTTTCCTCAACTTGGAAGTTAAATTTAATCATATGAGAATTTTATGGTACAACCTGGTGAACAGTTAGTTCAGAACTCAGCCATTCTAAGACCTTTGGCCAGCCCTCTCTGAGTGACAGATTATCACTAGGTGCTGTTTCTAATGATAGAGACCAACAGGGTCATGATGGAACAAACTTTCCTAAGCATGCTATTCTAAACAGTTTTCTTTAATAAACTCGTGACTGAATTATTTTAAATATCACAGTAGACATTAAAAGAATCACCGTGTAAAGCAATGATCTTGAGATTTAGAACTTGACCCCAAACACAGCAGTACAGATTAAATTTTCGACATTACATTCTTGTGTATGACACACATCAAATCAAGCATCAGCATCTCCTGTGCCACGCGATAATTTAAAAACACAGATGCAGGGGGGCCTTTCAAGTTACAGGGATTTTTAAGAAAATACCTACTTCTTATTAAATCAATAATCCATTTCTCCTCTCCCCGTTAGCTTCTGCTCCAGATTTTTCAAGGAACCCCATGAAAAAATTGGTTCAGGTGCAAGTAGGCAGCCTGGTGATCTTGGATTGTAAACCCAGAGCTTCCCCAAGGGCGCTTTCTTTCTGGAAGAAGGGAGACATGATGGTGCGGGAGCAGACAAGGTATTCTATCCTACAAAACACTGGTTTGCTTTCTTCTTTCCTGTGTCGATCAGCAAAGTGGGTTTTCAGCATAAAATGTAATACTTCGGCATACTGGAGAATGTAGTATACAAATTACAAATCAGAACACTGATAGTTTAGTCTTTAATACTCTAATTACACTATTAATTGAGCTTTCAAACCTGATCAGCCTTTCTCTTCATAAAATGCTTTGCTTTGGCAAGAACAGTCTTCTGTGGGCCTCTGGGGACACTCAGCCAGAGGGATTAAGGAATGTGGGGCCCATAGGTGAGACTACATCCCAAGACAAAAGAGAAGATAGTAAAATGACCGGTTCAAGGGAAATGAACATATTGTTTTCTTCTACTTTGGGATAATTTAGTTGTTCCTGAATTTAATTTAAGCAAACACTTTCTTCATTTTCTCATTATAACACTGGAATGAAGGGACAGAAGGAGGCTTAATTCAATACTTGGATTCTGGACCTGCTCTGTCTGGGTTTGTGTCTTCACTCTGCATTTACTGGCTCTATGAAGTGTCCCCACATCTCTGTGTCTTCTTTCTTTATTTGTTAAGGCGATGATAGTAACAGTTAATGCCTCGTGTTGAGAATCTTGTTATGGAGATGAAATGCATGAATACTCATAATGTTTGCTGATTGATACCTGCCAGAGAGGAAGCATGTATAGTGGCTATTATTACTATTGACTAAATGCTTGCTTCTTGCTAGAAACTTCCTGCAGAGCTTGTAATAGCTGAGTAATAGGCCCATAGGGCTCATGCCCTTACCCTGGAAACCTGTGGCTTTGTTGTGTTAAGTGATGTATTAGTTACCTTTCTTGTGGCTGATCTGACATAAAGCAACTTAAGAAAAGAGGCGTTTATTTTAGCTTCCAGTTTGAGGTTTGAGGATGCAGCCCACCATGGAGAGAACAGCATGATGGCTCCAGCAGTTGATCACATTGTGCTCACAATCAGGAAGCAGAAAGACCTCTCAGCTTCTTTTCTCCTTTTTGAAAGCTCCAAGATCCCAGCCCATGGAATAGTACTGCTCACATGTGGAGTAGGTCTTCCTACCTCAACCCAATCTGGAAATTCCCTCAAAGTCATGCCCTGACACTGCCTTCCAGGTGGTTCTAGATCCCGTCAAGTTGACAAGCAACAAAGTGATAAAATGAAGTTAAATTTGGAATTAAGGTTGCCAGTTTGTCACTTTTTTACATTTATTTATTCATTTATGTGAATGTGTACGCATGTCTGAAAGGAGAGAGAGAGGAGAGATAGAGAGAGAGAGAGAGAGAGAGAGAGAGAGAGAGAGAGTATATGTGTGCCACCCTACTCCTGTGACAAATTGAGGCAATCATTTCTCTCCTTCCACCATGTGAAGTTCTGCTGACTGAACTCATACTGTCAAGCTTGGTGGCGGTAACTTTTATTCACTGAACCATGTTGCCAGCCCTGATTTGTCAATTTTAAAATAGATTTACCTATGTAATTAACCTGGGTAGAAGCAAACAAATCACCTGGGCTTTTGAAATTAAGTAAAAGAGGATGAGAAAAGCAAAAGGATGGCTAGAGAGAGGTGATTATCAAGGAAGCAGGTCAAGAGCCAAAGCAGAAATAGACCCACCTTTCAGTGGGTTGATACTTTGAAGACTGGAAGGTAATACAGAGATCCTGTCCCCATCATGGCAGGGAACAGGTTTCCACCCCTGACAGTCTGGATAAGCACAAATGATTCTAGGTCTTTAGAAGGAATGCAGCCCTGTCACCACCTTACCTTGATTTAGCCAATGAGACCTATGCTGGTATATCAGATTGGGGGTTTCCATTTGTGGTGATTAATTACAGCAATGATAGGAAACTTCATACAGACCTCTATATAACTGATCCACTTTTGAACATGCTTTCAGCTAATGAGGAATCAAACCCTTGAGCATAACCACTGAGATTATTTAGTGCCAGCTTTTGTACAAGAGTCTAGCATCTTGGGGAGTAGTCTCAGGCTTTTTCAGTCACAGAACTACAAGCATTATTTTGGGAAATGAGAGGACATCGAGTAAGCAGTAAAATCTTCTGCCATGGCCCATGGATTTCTTTTTTTAAATTCCAACAGTGCCTTATTGCAAATGAACAGCTTTTAGATTACAGGTCTGGAGGTATTTTCATGAGAGTCTATAAAACCACGTAAGCTGCAGTTTTTCCTTTATATAATAGGAGACATCTTTATTAAGATACAAATTCAGTTCCCTCAGTCATTGGATGGGGTTTCTAGCATGACAATTAGGGTGTTTGGCCATCCTATCACCAGAGTAGGTCAGTTCAGGCTGTCTCTGGACCATTGCCAGTAGTCTATTGTGGGGGAAAGGGGGGGGGGAGAGGGGGGAAAACAAGGAAATCCGTGGCTGATATGTCAAATTAAATTAAATTATAAAATAAAAAAAGATACAAATTCAAATGAACAATGCAAATCGCAAAGTGGGTGTTCAACACAACCCAGCCACACAAGTTAAGCATAAAGAGGATATGATTAACTACTGACTTCGTGTTGGATTTTGTAAACAGGCTTAAACAATTACAGTTTGTGGTCAAAATACTTAATTTTGACTACCCTGGAAGTGAAGACCTCCAATGTAACTATGTAAGTCAGGGCCTCCTATGCAACTAACTAAATCATTTGAGTTATAGAGTGATTTTTTTCCCCAGGGGCTATAGTTCTTTGCACAATAGAAAGCCCACTTGTCCTCACAGCAGTATACATCCTAGACAGAGGTCTATAATCTTAATTTTAAATGGGGATAAAAAAAAAGATTAAGAGATTTAGCCACAGGCACCCAAGGAGAGATTTATTCTGCACTTCGTACAATGATGGTTGGTGAAAGAGCATAAGTCTGAAATGTAAGCAAGAATTTGCAACTTGCCTCCTTGCTAGTATGATATGATAGGGTCAGTTATGTGGCACATCTGAACCTTTGTTTCCTTACCTATTAAAAGAGATATTACCGGTGTGCCTTATCTACTTGCAATGATATAATCATTTGACACACACCTTATACTGGTAGATATGTTGAATCGTAAGAGTTGGTTTGTATTATATGTACACTATTAAAAGAAAGTGTAACTGAAGAAGATTCTAGTTCTCTGTGTGTTGGCTGGATGTTCACTGCTTGGTTGGGCTTTTTTTTATTTAATTTTTTTTTATTCATTTTACATACCAACCACAGATCCCCCTCTCATCCCTCCTTCTGCTCCCCCCACCCCCACCTACCTGCCCCCCCCACCCCTCATCCCCCTCCCCCAAAAGGATAAGTTTTCACATGGGGAATCAGCAAAGCCTGGTACATTCAGTTGAGGCACCCCCACATGCCTCAAGGGTGAACAAGGTGTCTCAGACCATAGGTAATGGGATTCAGAAAGCCAGCTTATGCACCAGGGATAGATCCTGATCACACTGCTAGGAGCCCCTCAAATAGACCCAGCTACATAACTGTCTCTCCTTTGCAGAGGGTCTAGTCCAGTCCCATGTAGGTTCCACAGCTGTCAGTTTAAAATTCCTGAGTTCCTATGAGCTTGGTTCAGTTGTCTCCATAGATTTCCCCGTCATGATTTTGACCTCCCCTTGCTCATATAATCTCTCTTCTCTCTCTTCAACTGGACTCCCAGAGCTTAGCCTGGTGCTTGGTCATGGATCTCTGCATCTGTTTCCATCATATGGAGGCTCTATGATGACAATTAGGGTATTCTGATTACCAGGGTAGGCCAGTTCAGGCACCTTCACCGATATTGCTAGGATGGAACTAGAAAATATCATCCTGAGTGAGGTAACCCAGACTCAGAAGGACAAACATGGTATATACTCACTCATAAGTGGATACTAGATGTAAAGCAAAGGATAACCAGACTATAACCCACAGCTCTAGAGAAGCTAGAAAACAAGGAGGACCCTAAGAGGTATGCATGGATCACCCTGGGAAGAAGAAACAGAGGTCTCCATGAGTAAACTGGGGATGAGGAGGGAGCAATAGAGGGGAAGGGTTGGTGGATGAGAACATGAGGAGATGAGATGGTTGAGCTGGAGGAGGGACAGAGTAGGAGAGCAATGAACAAGATAGAGGGAGACATTATGGGGCAAGGGAGAAATCTGGTGCTAGGGAAATTCCCAGGAATCCACAAGGATGACCCCAGTGTGGTTGGGATTTCTAAAATTAGCCATTCCAAGCTAGCCTGACTCCATGGAGATACAGGCTCTTGGTTTGGTACCCCACCAATGCACCACATCAGTCTAGAGGACTACTTGAGCATCAGCGGTCAAGTGGCAGCTCTAGGAGGAGCAGGAAAAAGTATGAATATGGGTATCTTCTCCCTTTTAAAGGACTTCCCAGAAGTCCCATCTGGTACTCTCTCTTTCACCTAACCAATCATAAATTCCCTTAACTACAATAGGAGCAAAAGATAGATGTATATATGTGTAGTTACTACAAGGGGTCATGTTCATGACAACTGAGGAGTCTACTTTTCAGGAGAAAGAGACCAAGGGTTACTGCTCTATCAAATGTCAATTCCCTATGAATTCAGGCTCCTGGCAGCAAATATGCTTACTTAGTCTTTACTTACTTTGAGGTGCTGGAAATCGAATCGGAGACTGACTCATACACATTAGTCAAGATCTGTGTAACGAAGACACATCCCAACCAGTAAATATGTTTCTACTGAGCAAATAATCTGTAATTAAGGTGTCATTTAAAGTCTAAATTAGACTTTAAAAAGATAAGACTATGACTTTTATTAATTATATAGGGTGACAAATATGACTGCATAAATCATACAATATATTTACATAATTCTATATACCCAGTTTTTCAGTTTTTGTATATGAGCACGGTGATAGCTTTAGATTTATTAATCAAACTTGAAATTGAATCAAAGTTTGTGAGAACCCGTAAACTAATAAGTCATTTTGAAGTGACAACAAATGCTTTAGAAAATGAGGAACATTTTGT